ATATTTAAAAGATAATAAGAATATTTGCTGTAGGATTATAGGCAATAAAAACATGCATTTAAATCATATCATTGAGTATTGATCTTTGAGTCTATTGATCTTCTGATTTTGTCCAGTAATTTATATTCTTAAACTACACTAACTAAACCTTTTTGTTGTTGTTTGGAAGCAAATGAACATCTTAAATTTTTAATGTTATTAATCTCTGGAAAGTTTCTGTGAATTTAGAAAGGGAGCTTAAATTAAGCCTTTTTTTAAAACCTCCATATGAATTTCTTTTTAATAGCTAAATTCAATTGTAGTACTGCTTTTATAACAAAAAATTGAAAACCATCTTAATATTTTTAGCATGGTAATAGATAAGTTGTATACTTGAATAATATATAATAATAGTGAATGAACGAGCATAATATCTATCCATATGGATGACCATCACACATTTACTGTTGGATAACAAAAGCAAATTGCAGAAAAATACATAAAATGAAACTATTTGAGGTTTAAAAGTTAGGCTAAGTATATTTTATAGAGATATATACCTATGTCCTTTGTAGTTAAAAGTATAAAGAAATGTGTGGAATGCTACACATCAAATACAGGTTACCTTTGGGAGAAAGGAGGATGCTGTCAGAAAGGGCAAACAAGAATCTTGGAAATTATTTGTAGTTCTTTGTTTCTTCAGCAGGGAAGTATATCCATGAATGTATGTTATTTGTTTTTTTCTTTTCTTATTTTTCCGTACATTTTTGTAGGTCTGAAATATTGCAAACATAAGTTTTGGCCACAAGGATTGCCTCTTTTTATTCTTTTTTTCCATTTCCTTTTGTTTCTACTTTTACTTCTTTTAAAGATGTTAGGTCATAAATGCTGTTTAATCCTTTTTCAATTGCTCTAAGTATAAAGTCTTTGGGTATCGTAAATTGCAGTGATTTAGAAACCTTAAATCTGGTTGTGTCTTTTTCCTCCCAGGGCTTCTGGTACAGTTTTCACTGCTACTGATGTGGCGTTGGGACAAGAGGTAGCTACTTTTATATACTTCTGAATGTTACCATTAGCCTTTCATATAGGAGGAAGCTAGATAGAGCTGAGAATAATCAATAGAAATCTCTTTTTAAGTTGAACATGTTTAAAGAATTGTTCTATGTAATTTTATAGCACTTCTCTCATTAAGAGGAACAAAGAAGGAATTATGAGTTCAGTGTCATAAATACACAGATATTAAAAAATTATTTTCTCAGCTTGAAATGTAAAGAGGATTAGTTCCTGGTGCTGCACTGACCTTGGGTTTGTTAATCAACTTCAATATAATTCTAGGCTGGCTGTACTTTGGGAGGATCACTTGAAGCCAGGAATTCAAAACCAGTCTGGGCAACATAGCAAGACCCTGCCTCTGTAAAACATAAGAAAAATTAGCTGGGCATGGTGGCGCATGGGAGGCTGAGGCAGAAGGATTGCCTAAGCCCACGAGTTCAAGGTTGTAGTGAGTTATGATCATACCACTGCACTCCAGCCTGGGCAGCAGAGCAAGACACTGTCTCAAAAAAAAAAAAAGTCTAAAAATATTTAGGCTTTATGTATTACAAAGCATTGTGCATAGGCAGTATGGAAGTAAAAGTACTATCTAGGAGTAATCTCATTGTATAATTTAATATATGTACCTATAATCTCATTGTGTAATGAAGTACGTGTACAATAAATTAAATTATTAACTGATTGGTGTTTGTAATCTTGTAGGAAACCTGTTTTGATTTTTTTTCCATTCTGTTTTCATTGTAGGTTGCAATCAAACAGATTAATTTACAGAAACAGCCAAAGAAGGAATTGATTATTAATGAAATTCTAGTGATGAAAGAATTAAAGAATCCCAACATAGTTAACTTCTTGGACAGGTAAATATGAATATTTCTTAAACATTGGGATCAGAAATGTGGAAATTTTAAGTCTTATAGTTTGGGGAGGTTAGCCACTTGAGAGTAGAATGACAATGCCGAGAAGTAAAATTAATTGAAGGAGGAGGAGGAGAGGTAAAAATAGCACATTACAGTTTTAGAAAGTCCTTTCTCTGCAAAGATACCACTTGGGCCAGGCGCGGTGGCTCATGCCTGTAATCCTAGCACTCTGGGAGGCCGAGGCGGGTGGATCGCTCAAGGTCAGGAGTTTGAGACCAGCCTGAGCAAGAG